CAAACTATGGAATGGATTTCCTTAACGGCGGCGTGTCTCATGAACCCAGAGTAATAAGACCCGCCTCACATTCAGGAAATCCATTTCATAGTTTGCAACCAGCTACAATGTGAGGACTGAGTTAGCAGCACTGTGGCTAACAGCTAACCAACTTTTCATCTAAACATGTTCGCTGTGTGGAAGTATTTTACACTAAACACCACAAAGCAATGCAGCAACGTGCAATGTCTGCAGAGCCATAGCACCACATTAAACAGCGGTAAAGTTAGTTTTACGTTGGACATTCGAGCTCCGTGGCTTCAGCGGGGCAGTACTCTTTGGTCAAACTGAAAGAGGCGACTCGACCCCGGCCAGCCGCGTCCAATCTGCCCCGCTCAGTCTGCCCATCTCTGAGGAGGGACAGACTGAGCGGGGCTGCCCCAAATCAGGCTGCCTGCTGCGGATTGAACAAGAAGAAGACATCGCTGAAACCACGGAGCTCAAATGTTTTACAGAGAAGTTGCTAAACTTCATCGTGATTCATGACCAACCACTATCAGTTGTAGAAAACGAAGGATTTCACAGCTTGATACTTGCAGCCAAGATATAGTTTACCCTCCAGGAGATATTTATCAGTACAACAGTAGACAATAAAAAACATGATTTGAAAATTATATATATTTAATAAAAAAAACAGCTACATTATAAAGTGATGTAAAATACTAAAAACAGGAACATGTCTGTTGGTTTATGCCATGAACTTAGCAGATGTTTGAAGCCATTCAACATTTTATTTAATTAATTTATTCATTCATTTAAATGAAACAAAATAATTAAAAAAAATCATCAAAAAGAAAACATTGAATGAAAATAGTGCAGAAAGAAGAAAAAAATTCTTATATCTGCCCTTTATAAAATATAAAACAACTTTAAACAATCACTTAAATTAATCACTTTAATTTCCACTTTAAAGCTAGGAATAAAAAGAAACATGTTTTGTGTTAACAGAATTTAATTCTAACTTTAAAACTTATCCAACATTAATAAAACTTACCTCAAGTTGCCTTTTTGGACATGCATGCATATATTTGTACAAACTGTACTTGAGAGGAGATTATTACAGCCTCATATAAAATCAATGATGATCATGATATCGGAACTGGATCGGTATCGGCCGATACTCAGACTTAGGTATCGGGATCGGATCGGAAGTAAAAAAAAAAAAAAAGTGGATCGGTGCATCCCTAACTTTTACTCTGTGTTTGTGTTTCATTCACATAAAAATATCTCTAAAGGCTTGTGAGAGGGTTTTTATCCCCTGGCGCGAAGCGAAGAGGGAACTTAGAACATCCATCTGTCCGTCCAGGTCATCTTTTGAGCAGGATAACTTGGAAAAAAGGCAACGTGCTGAGTTTCCATCTCTGCGTGTGGCTTACTCTCAGTGCAAGAAATGAAACTATTGGAAAATCCAAGATGGCCACCACCACCATATATATACATGGATTAAAGTTCTCCGTGGCTGCAACAGATTTCCATCATCTGTAAAAATGAGGAGGGGAAAGAAAATATATTTTGTTGTGGTCTTTTTAAAACTATCCAATCAGATGGTGATACAGGAATTAAACTGACGCTGATTTCAGCCAATAAAGAGAACCAGAACCACAGTTTAAGCCAATCAGAATAGAGCAGGGCGGGGCCTGCTGTCTGGTTAGTGTGAGCATCAGAGAGACTGCAGGTGAAAGCTCACCTGCTGCAAGCCAAGGAGGACACCCTGCTACCCCAACAGAACCGCCCACCCCCCAATGAAGGTGATGACGTATTAAATTATTAAACGTGTTCACGTGACCGCTGCAGCCGGGGCGATACCAGAACTGATACACCATCAACCCCACCTCCCGCACCGTGCCCCTACCTCCCACGACTTTTGTATCTAACTTTGTATTAAACGTTAATTTGTTGGGAGCGTCGTCATTGTGCAGACATGAGCAGCCTGCGGACGTCCAGAAAAACACTCATCTCCTAAACTACAAACATTCAGTCTTCAAACCCCTCTGCCACGGGGACATTGGTGAACTGCTCGCTGTGATGTGTTCATTCGAACTGGTGTCACGGCTTCACCTCCGTCAGCTGTAAATGATGTTTTCTGACTATTGAGGAAAGTGTGAACACCTTTCACCAAATGAATCGATGAGATTGGACTAAATGCGGTTCTAAATCAGTTGTTGGGTCTAGTATCGGAAACATTTGAGACCTTTATGTAAAAAAAACCTGCGTTCCAGCTTCAGTATGAAACATTTAGAGCAGTGCAATCATTTGAGAGGCTTGAAGGGCAACATTTAAATCCTTGTGATCTCTTCCCAGACCACGAGTCTAACCAGTGGTGCTACGACAACTTTGTCAACTACCGATCCCTGATGTCGGCTGACAACGTGCGCCAGCAGCTGTCCAGGATCATGGACCGCTTCAGCTTGCCTCGGCGCAGCACAGAGTTCACCAGCAGAGATTACTACATCAACATCCGACGAGCGCTCTGCACCGGCTTCTTCATGCAGGTGAGCTCATCTAATAATCAAAACCTTTCTTTTCTTTTTTTTTACCAGAGAGCTATAGCAGGTATTTAACTTTATGTCCTTTGTGACGTTCTTGCAGGTTGCTCATTTGGAGCGCACAGGCCATTACCTCACCGTCAAAGACAACCAAGTGGTCCAGCTGCACCCGTCTACAGTCCTGGACCACAAGCCTGAGTGGGTGCTCTACAATGAGTTTGTCCTCACCACCAAGAACTACATCCGCACATGCACAGACATCAAGCCCGAGTGGTGAGGGTCCAGACATCTTACAGTAACACGCCTGGAGTTAGGTTCTCGTGCTGCCGTGTTCCTAACCAGACGGTTTGTGTTTCAGGCTGGTGAAGATCGCTCCGCAGTACTACGACTTGAGCAACTTTCCACAATGTGAAGCTAAACGGCAGCTGGAGCGAATCGTTGCCAAGCTGGAGAGCAAAGAGTATTCTCAGTACTGATGATGGACGAGAAGAGTCGGGGAAAACAGACGCAGATTCTAGTTTTAGATCTGTCCGTGTCTCTGTGTGTTAATGGTAAACAGTTGGCGTTTTGATTTTTACAGCTCGTTTGTTTTGTTGCTTTTCCATCCGTGTCATTTCTGTAAGTAGGTGTTAAAATGTCGATGAAATCTCAGCAGCAGTTATGATTTTCAAAGAAAATGATCAGCAACCGGTCGTTCAGACGGGTTTCCATCAAAGTTTGGAGCCATAACAAAATCTGTGCTTGCTTTGTTTCTGTAATAAAAGAAGCTTTGACTTTACTTTGCTTTTGAAATGAATTAGTGAGGCCTGCCTTTACAAAAATGAAACATTAGTAGAAGTCCTTTAAAAACTGCTAATAATTAGAGCAGTCTTTTAAAACCGGTGAGTTTTTGCATATTTTGCTACTTATTTTTTTCCCCTGCACGCTTTAATTTAATGTAAAATTTTATATTTTCATATGTTAAAGTTCAGTTTGTGTCACATAAACATTGAGCTCAGATCGTGTTACCGTTTACTGTTCAGACCAAACATTGCATCATTTTTTGTCATTTGAATCCCCAGAGAACAAAGAGGGGATTTTGAGCACAATCCTGTCTTTAAAATAGGTATTTTCATCAAGGCCGGATTAACCATATGGGCAACTGCCCAGGGGCCATGATCTCTAAGGGGCCCAGGGCAGTGAGGGCACAAGCAGAATATCTGGTTATCTCCTGCTTTAATTGAAGCTCTGCGCTGCACAGAGACACTGCTGCACTTCCGCTGCATTTGAGCATCCCCGCTTCCTCCCAGCGGCTGCTGCAGCTCAGTTTTTTTTTTTTCAATCGTATCCTCGACAGTGCGACCTGTCAATCAACTCAGAAGGCGTGTCAGTAACTGACCAATCGACAACCTCAATTTGTCCCGAAGGTAAACGCTCCTTACCTGCTGACAAGCTCATCAGCTTTTTTTTTGAGAAATTGTTTTAATTAAAACAATAAGTTTGTATCTGTTGTGAGATGATTTTAGCAGTTTTGCATAATTTCAATCTACTTGATGAAGAATAGTATGACTTCAAATTGTCCATTAAACAGGAAGAAAGGCTTATTATTCCTCCTCTTACTACAGTGAATGTGGTACTTTGCTATAAGTACGACTATATTTATGGCATCAGAGAAAGTGATTCTCCTTCACTTTAGGAGATTTAGGCCATTTGAGAAATTTAGAATGAGCAAAAATCATTCTGGTTTTATTATTTATATTGGGAGGATTCTTGACGGAATCTGTTATACTCAGTAAATCCTTTGTCACAAACATTCATTGATAATCATTTCATTTGAAGTCAACTAAGTTACAGTCATTTAATTTTAATTTGGGCATCAAATCGTCACCTTTGAATATATAATACATTTAATTCATTGAATCAGCTGTTGGTCAGGTTACTTCTTGTTGTGCCATTAGCTCTAACATAGTTACCGAATCAAGTGTTTACTTCAGTCCATCTGTGGGGGTAGCAGCCTAAGTGGGGAGGTCCAGACTTCCCTCTCCCCAGCCACTTGGACCAGCTCCTACAGGGGAATCCCAAGGTGTTCCAAGTGTTTACTTTGTAGGTAAAACCAGTGCAAAATCACACCAAAGTTGTCTCAGGGCACTTTACAGGAACATTCACATAAAAGCCACTTGGTAAAGTTCTCTATCTAAGGAATCCAGCAGACAAGTTGAATCTTGGCTTCGTTGCAGTCTTCCATCCTGAGCAAGCACAGTGGCAACAGTGGAAAGAAAAAACTTCCTTTTAAAAGGAAGAAACCTCCAGCAGAACCAGGCTCAGGACAAGCGGCCATCTGCTTTGACCAGCTGGTTGAGAGGACAGGAAGGAGAGACAGACGAACACAATGGTAGGTCCAGGTGTATCTGAAAGAAAAAAAAACACATGTTAAGGATAGAAAAAAATAATTACAAATACAAAACAAGTTGAGCAGAGTAAGTAAAGACAGTAGTAGAGTGAAAAGTGTGGTCAGTTTGTCCTCCAGCAGTCTAAGCCTATAGCAGCATAACTAAGGGACAACTGGGGAAACCCAAGCTGACCCTAACTATAGGATTTAGAAAAAAGTAGTCTTAAGCCCAGTTTTAAAACTGGATCATGTGTCAGCCTCACAGACAGAGATTGGAAGTTGGTTCCACAAGAGAGGAGCCTGATAACTGAAAGATCTGCCTCCCATTCTGTTTTTGTAAATTCTAGGAACCACAAGTAAACCTGCAGCCTGAGAGCGAAATGCTCTGTTGGGAAAATATGGAACAACAAGATCTGTAATATAAGATGGAGCTAGGTTGTTGACAGCTTTATAGGTTAGAAGTAGGATTTTGAATTCTATTCTGGATTTGATGGGGAGCCAATGGAGAGAAACTAAAACTGGAGAAATATGATCTCTCCTACTAACTCTAGTTAAGACTAGCAGCAGCGTTTTGGATCAACTGAAGATGTTTAAAAGAAGTATTTGGACATCCAGATAATAAACCATTGCAATAGTCCAGTCTAGACGTGACAAATGCATGGACCAGTTTTTCTGCATCAAGATGTTTCTAATTTTAGTGATATTACGCAGATGGAAGAAGGCAGTTCTAGTAACGTTTTTAATGTGGGAGATAAAAGACATGTCCTGATCAAAAATAACACCAAGATTTTTCAAAACTAGATGTTAAACAACCATTAAAATACACCGGAATGCAGGAAATGGCATCTACTTTATTCAAAATTTTCTGGGGGAGGACCCCCAGACCCCCCCATCAGTGTGTTCCCCCACCACACACACACACACACACACACAAACACACACACGCACGCGCGCGCGCGCGCGCGCGCACACACACACACACACATTATAAATGCTCTGACACCAGTGGTCAACATGTTCCTAAATGAGTACATATGGTGTCATGTGGGGTTCAAAGTGCTTTCAACTTAATTCAGTCTTGATGATTTGTGTCAATGAGCATTTGGAGTTTTATACATAAAAATACACTTGATAGTTTGATTTTTAAGTATATTTACTGTATATTATGGTAATTTATTCGTTATTTTGCCAGATTATGGTGATTCTGGGGTAGTGATGATGGGGCCCTTGAAGATTGTTGCCCAGGGTACAGTGAAGTGTTAATCTGGCCCTGATTTTCATCATAGCTGAACAGAATATACCTCGTTTGTTAAAGGAGAATCCAGTTTACAGTGATGATTAAGGGTGCATTCACACCAGCCCTGTTTAGTCCGCTTTAATCGAACTCTAGCTCGTTTTCCTAGAAAGTCCGGTTCGTTTAGGGAGGTGTGAACGCACCATCTAACTCTGTCACGGAACAAAAAGGCGAACTCTGGCCCGGGCTAAAACCTAGGTCTCGGTCCGGTAGAAGCGAACTCTTAGACATGAATGGGAGAGCATTCCTATTTCTAAACTTGAGAAACTGGTCTCCTCTGTCCCCAGACGTCTGTTGAGTGTTGTAAGAAGAAGGGGGGATGCCACACAGTGGTAAAAATGGACTTGTCCCAACTTTTTTGGGATTTGTTGACGCCATGAAATTTGGAAACAACAGATTTTTCCCTTAAAATGATACATTCTCTCAGTTTAAACTTTTGATCTGTGATTTGTGTTCTATTCTGAATAAAATATTAGATGTTGGCACCTCCACATCATTGCATTCAGTTTTTATTCACAATTTGTTTAGTGTCCCAACTTTTTTGGAATCTGGTTTGTATTTATCTTACCTCAGCTTTATAACTCGAACCCCACACTTCCTGTTCTTTGAATTGAGAAAGCTTCTCAGATGAGAAGCAAAACATCTTCTGTTAAAAATAAAGTCCAGTTGTTTTTGTCTTGAACTTTTTTTTTTTTAATTTTGAACTGATAACGGCTCGTCTGATCAGGACCAAGAACAAGGTTTAGCTCAGCTCCTGTGACGAGAATGTACTACAAATGCAGAAAGTGGAAGACGTGGCAGAATACACAGGATTTTACCTTTTTTGTCACGTAGCAGGCATCTTTTGACCTTGGTACAAAATGAAACTGGAAGTGACGTCAAAGGGGAACTTCCTGCTTTGTTTATTGCAACAATATTCGAACTCTGACTCCTTGTCTCTCTGAAACTGAAAATAATTAAAGAAAGGTCCGATTTTTCTCTGCTGTCTGTGTTGTCAGCCATTGTAGCAATGCTCTGGTCCCCTTTGACATCACTTCCTGATGCTGTGTATGAGAACATCTCAACAACCATTCATCTCAGAGATGGGAAATCTTTATGCTATATGTTATCTTTCCCGATATGCATCCATATTTATTACAAAATATGGATGTCAGAGCCACTTTAAAGTGACTCCAATCTTAGATGTCATGGCGGTTTGATTCTGCTTGACAAGGTTATTCCAGCTGCTGCAGCTGTTTGTGCAAATAACTGCATCAGAACTGAAGGTTGTCAAGGAAAATCAACACAACTCGGACTTTTCAGCCTATTTACCTTTTCCTCTCATTGGTTTGGAGATACATGGAGAAAAGACAATAATCAGTCAGAGAGATTCAAGTTAAAAAGTATTACCAACATTTATTAAAGCTTTCAGCTGAAAGGAGATGCTTTTACTCAAAACCAACAGAGATACAGCAAAAACCCAAGACGCGTCTGACCGGAGCTCCAGCTTCTTCTGTATTTAAGCACAATAGCTCCACCCAGAGATGTGTCACAACATTCTTACAGTTCTTTGTGTAAACTAGTTCAAATTGATGTCTTCATTTACTGGAAGTCCTTTTATGGAGTTGTTTTATTATTTTCTTCTGCCGTTCCAGTTTACTGGCGATCTTGTCATCAGGTGGGACACACACCAGCAGCTCCTTGTTAGTTCATGTCCCATACACAATGCACTAAAATACATCCTCTGACTTAGTTCAATCCGTACTTGGTGATACCAAAAGACAAGCAGATCCAAATAAAGGACAAGATACAGTTGTGATACATCGAGCAATACAGCACAGCAGATAAGAGCGTCTTTACAAGGTTTATAAAATCTGTTCTGAGATTGAAAATGGTTAAAACATCAGAAATTCATTTTAGTTTTATTTCTTTAATCTGGCTGTAAAACTACAATTTCTTCATCTGGAGGTTCAGAAAGTTATCTGCAGCAGGTAGCATAATATCTATCCAAAACCCACTTTGACCTATCAGAACCACTACTAAGTGTTTTTCCCTAAACTAAACTTTAAGCTAACTTAAAACTGCATAAATGTCCCCATCAACACATCCAGCTTCCACTTTGTTCATTTCAGTAAAATAACTGCTGAGCTAAATGGATCCTCGTCTCTGACCTCTACTACCAGCTCTCTTCAATATCCTCTATGGTCTCTGGCAGGCATCTATTGCGGGTCTCTGGCAGTGTTCTTGCCACCATTGAGCCGAACACAGCCGTAGAGCACAAGACCACCTGGGGCAGCTCCTTCCAGACCCCGTCCAGCAGCAGGATCAGAGGAGCCATGGCTACACCGAGCCGAGCCATGGAGGAGTTGTAACCCATCCCATTCTGCCTGAAAACGGAAGAAACCCAAAACTTGTAAACACAGATTTTCTGTTTGTGAAACATTGTCACTTTATATTTGCCGGTGTATGAACCTTACCTGACCACAGTCGGGTACAGCTCAGAACTGTACAGCACAACCGTTGCAAAAGATGCTGAAGAAAACCCTTTTCCAACAACAGCAACAACCGTTCTGGCAACGGACAGATCTGACACAAAAATGGATATACGAGATTTTATATTTGTTTATACCACTATTTGTTTTAAATTTTCCAAAACGGACAGATTTAAGAACTCAGATCCCCAGGTTCCCACCTTTTGGTATGACGATGTTGATCCCAAGACAGAGGCCAGCCAGCAGCAGAGCTCCTGTCTCGGTGCGCCTCCGGCCTATCCTGTCCAGTACATAATAAACGAACACTTTGGCCGGTAGCTCGATTAAACCGTATGTAAACTGAGTGAGGTAGATGTTGAGGCCGAAGCCCGTGATGTTGAAGCTGATGCCGTAAAATGTAATCGCTATGAAAAACCTAACAACAAAATTCATGACATATTAAATGCTTGAATACCTGAGCTCACCATTATAAAATGCATAGGGTCTACGGACCATAAGATACCAGTTCGCAGAGCCAGTTTCCTCATCTTCGGTGTTCTTATCAAGTCAACGTAGGAGAAGGTTCTGTCTGTCTTCTCTGTCACCACAATAGTGGATAATGTCTGAAAGACCCACCAGCATCATTCTTAAAACCACGTTATTTGAGAAGAATCGCTGTAAATCAAACTGCTGCCTCAGTCATTGTAAGATCCCACCTCTGTTTTAAGCGTCTGAATGGACTCCTCTCTGCGGTTCATCTTGGCACATTTCTTCAGGTACATCTGGGCCTGCTCCAGTTTTCCACTGGTGATGAGCCACCTTGCCGACTCTGGCACCCACCTGGTTTTTACAAATGGAGATGACGTCCAACTGTGCTTAAAACCATTTGATGTCTGGTGTGTTTTTCTTTCTGGTGACCTTTCATTGTTCTGAAGCTAGAATGTAGTGCGCTGAATTCCGGAAGGATAACCTGTGACACTATTTTATATCAATCCTTATGAGTCAGAATGGTCAAACATGAGCAACTTGTGATGTTTAAGGTTTTCATGCAATGATCCAACAAAACCGCTGTGGAACTTTATAAAAATACAAACTGTGTTGGGAGTTTTTTATGCTTCCATCAGTGCCAGTATCCTGCAGGTTTTACCAGAATTCCCATCTCCAAAAAACCTGATCCTATCACCTATTCATTTCCTGCAGAACCCTGTTGATCACCCATTGATCCAAACCAGGTGTGTTGGAGCAGAGGAACACCTAAAACATGCAGGATGGTGATCCTCCAGGACCTGCACTGGACCCCACTGCCTTAGAGTATGTTGCATTTTTTATAAAAACACATCCACTTTAGGTTAAGGTCTTGTGTTGCAACTCAAAACCTCTGGCAGATATTAGCTCATCTGAATCCTTGACTCTTACCACCAAGTGATGATGGACAGGATTAAAGGTGATGAAACACAAACAATCAACCTCCGCCAGTCAGTCACAAAGTAGGCAATGGCAGCAAATGCAGTGTTTCCAAAAGTCCAGGACAAGCTGTCAATCACTCCCACCATTTTCCTGTGCTCGATGTCAACCCACTCCACACCTGCAGAGATTTAAATCAGTCACACTGAAAGGATGACATAAACAAAGACAACGCTTGAAAACTGGTCTAATTTCTGACGAGTAACGGCTGTGTTTGTTCGCCAGGATTTCTGAGGTGCGCTCAGTGTAATGTGACATGTGTTGAAGAATGTGTAACCAGACAGGACAGAAATGATTTACTGAGGACTGTTGAGATGATGACAATGCCAGTGATGCAAAAGCCCGTGAAGAACCTGAGCGCTGCAAACATCACGTAAGTCGTAGAAAAGGCCGATGCGATGGCAAACAGCAACCCAGACACGTAGGACACGAGCAGCATGATCCTTCGGCCGAACCTACAGAGCCACACAGTTCACCTGCATTTATACCTAAAGTGGGATAGTTTGCATAACCTGATGTAGGTTTAGTGAAAACTTCACTTGTTGGTGGGTCTTTGAACACAACCTCAGTCTGGAGTAATGGGGATTAGTTTAGATTGTTGAGCTCCCAGCTGAGACAAAATGGACTGCAGCCAACTTAAAACAACTTCAAATGAGTCATTTGGTTGTCAGAATTAAACTTTATTTCTACAAACTGAGGCTATCTATAACAGGTAAATGTGAATTTTAATAATTACTATTGAAAACTTCAATTCAAAAATCTAAACCGTACCATAAAAATGTGTTCTATAAGGTTATTTTTAGGTTTTGTGGCCTAAATAACAGAGCTGTGGTACCTGTCACTCAGACTTCCAAAGCACACAGCTCCTAACATGACTCCGATGAAGAAGATGGTAGCAGTCGCTTTATTTTTGCCTCGTCTGTGACACACCAGGTCCCACTTAAACAAACGAGTGAGAAAAAAAAAGTCATTCATGAGGCTGAATTATTGATGATTTGGTTTTAAACAGAAACTAAGAAGTCACCTCTGTGGTTATAGTGGACTTGAAGGTTGTGTTGTCGTACACCCATCCGTTGTCGCACAGCACCATGGGCACATCTGTGACGTTGGAGGAGTCGAACAGCAGATGATATTGAGGCTCTGCAAACATTTGACAGGAGCTCAGACTCCCATCCAGCTGGACTGGAATCCCAACAACGAGTTTTTGATCTTGGGATAAGTTTGTAAAAATCTCTTCATCTTCCAGAGAACTGATGTCACAATGGTGAGCAGGTACCGCGGCTACAAAGTTGTTCAGCATGAAGTGGCAGGGGAGCGTGAAGCGACCAAGGAAGCTGATCACAATGATCATTATCTGAAACATTCCAAAGCCATTAATATCAGAAAGAACATTTTCAAACCTCATGGTGGTCTCCAACAGGCCGATGTGTCGTCCTTCAACACCAACAAAAAATGGAAACTGCCCTCTTTTACCCACACCTAGGTAGTAAAAATATAAACCACCATTCAAATCTTTTCCCAGATTCAATAACCTTTGGCACTGAATGAATCAACTACCTGCTAGATCACAGATGGAATGAGTTAATGATTGACCTCAAATAATCATTTCTACAACTTTTTTATGTGTGACTTTAAAGCCTCAGGTAGAGTTCAAGTATCTGATCTTGTCTTGTTCCTGATTGATGGGAGGATGGAGAGAGAGATGGATAAACAAATCGGGATTGTGTCCTGAGTAATGAGGGTGTTGCTTCAGTCAGTTGTGATGAAGAAAGAGTTTATTCAAAAGGGAAAGCTCTAGAATCTACGTTCCAACTCTCATCTGTGGTCATGAGGTTTGGATCAGGACCCAAAGAACCAGATCCAGGTACCAAAAGGCTGAAATGAGCTATCCTTTGAAGGGTGGCCGGGCTCAGCCTTAGAGGTAGGGTAAGGAGTAGAGTGGTAGAGCCACTGCTCCTCTGCATTAAAAGGAGTCAGCTGAGGAGGTTCTTCTGATCAGGAAGCCTTGGATTGCTAAGCTCTGGTACAAGGCTAAGGTGGAGAGGTTCTCCAGGGCTACTGTGAAGGCGGCATGGTAGAACCTTAATAGAATGACGAGTAGAGCACAATGTCCAGTGAAGTTATATACAATGTCTGGACCCTGCTTCTTTTACAGAACAGCTTAGCATCTTTCCGGTTCAACAACACTGCAGCTACAAGGACTAGACGTCACCCTGCTCCAATCACAGTAAAGGGTTGTTTCAATCTTATCTAAAATGCATCCAAAGAAAGCCCCTAGTCCATAGCTGTCAAGTCAGCTTATTATAAGTGACTTTGGGCTTGTTTTTTTTCTGAAGTTGCTTGTAAATCTTGTGAGTCACGGGTTGCAGTTTTTTGGGCTTGTTTTGAACGTGAAGTTGCTTATTTGGGCTTGACTTTCTTTCCGAGTGAAGCTAGTTGATTATCTCACAGCTCCGCACAATAAAACAAAAGACGAGTGGTAGTAGGTAGTTTGTCCCTTCCACGTCCCCGTTTCCTGTATATTGCTCCCACCCAAGTTGGCGAGGTGACAGGCGCACACATAGACATACTGTACATAGACAAATATGTCTGTGGGCGCACACCCCAAACACTCATACTGTGGCCGACCACTAGGGGGGCTCCACTCACACTCAGATTTAAAGATGTTTTGTTTTTAAAAATATGTAGAAAAATTACATATGCAAAATGTATTTTTTTTTATCAGAGATTAAAAATATGTTATTCAAAGTGTTTATCATAATTTGGCTGTTGTTTATGTTAAATGCCATAATAAATGTATGTTTATACTGTTTAAAAATGGCCACTGTTTTACGCAATGTGGTGGGTTGCCAGTTGGGCTGGTTCTGGACTAGTTTTCATAGAGCTGGTTCGCTGGTGAAGATTCTCAGTCATCCAGGACATGGTAAATTCAAAATGTTCAAGACATAAACAACTGGACTTTATTTGTAACAGAAGACATTTCGCTTCTCATCCGAGAAGCTTTCTCAATTCAAAGAAACAAGGAGTGTGGGGTTCAGGTTATAAAGCTAAGATGCACAGATACATATGCAGATTGACCTATCACACCTCACAGTAGGGGTTTGTTAAGGTCATTGTTAATTTAATTCACAGATGAGCTGGTTGCTTGCTTCTATCGTGAGATCTATCAACACTGCCCTAGTCCCAGTGGGCTCAAGGGACGAGTGCTGAAGGAGGTTATGTGGTGACAACTCTTTCAGCTGTTTTTGACATCCAGCTGTCCCTAGAGCATGGAGGGAGACTATGATTATCCCTGTTCTTAAAAAGATTTGTATAAAAGCCATGAATGACTTTAGACCTGTGGCACTCACCAAGATCCTCTGCAAGTGCATGGAGCGGGTGGTGATGGAGGAGCTCATTACCATGGTTATGGGTAGCTTGGATCCATTATTGGCCACAGTGGGGGGTCATGAATGCCAGCCTAACCCTCTTGGATACAGTGGAAAAGCACCTGGACTCCTGCAACTCTAGATATTAGGATAATTTAATAGTATTCTTATTATCCTTTCAATAGCTGATTAAATAAATATGCCACACAGGAACGAGTAGATAATTTTCGTTATCCCAGTTTAAGCTTGCATGATGGAACAGAGTTGAAATACAAGCAGGCACGATGTTTACATGTCGCTTTGTCTCCAAGTCTGCTCAAATAGAGCATAAACCAGTGTATTTTTATAACGTTATCAGAGGCACTGCCTAGCTTAGGCCTTGAGTTTATGAGCAGCTCCAGTCTGTCCAGACAAAACACTCTAACACACACACATGGTTCATATACATTTGACATTAATAAGTGAAAAACATCTGTGACTTTTCATATTTCCAACATTTTCCCTCCTGTTACAGTTTTTATCACTTATCAATAACCCTCTTGCAAGCTAGGATGCTGTATGCATGCGGTGGAAAACCTGCCCAGGGCAAACAGTCAAACCAGGTGGGAAAGCACCAGCAATGCCTCACGCCCCTATGACGATGGCCTTAACAGCACATTCAGCATCCTCCTGGGTGTCATCAGTTCAAAATTCAGTTGTTAGGATTTTATTTATGGATTCTTCATTTGCCTTCAATACAGTAAATATAAATACTCTTCATCACCTTCAAGTACTGCAAGTTAATACAAATTGGTTTTATGGATTAAGGATTCTTTAACAAACAGGCTCCAACATTTAAAGGTCAAAGGTTTTAAATCTAGCAGCATGGTTTGGATTACTGGGGTCCCACAAGGCTGCATTCTCATTTCCATCTACACCAATGTAATAACCTGTAACAATAATGGACTGACACGCTTTAAGTATGCAGATGATATGTTCTTGGTGGCCTGATTGACCGATGAACACTCACAGACTAGATACAAGCAGTTTGTGAACACCATGGGCATCTGATTCTGAGAGCTCATTAGAACTCAATATTTTTAAAACTAAGGAGCTGAATGGTGGGCAGTCTCCATGTGTCTGCAACCCCCACCCTCTCACAAGGGTTGCTGAAGTTGGAGGATGAAATATATTTGTATCTTATTTTTATCTTACATAATGTAACAATGAGTGATTATTTGTATTCTTTATATTTTTATATGGCATCTTAGAATTTTATGTGTTAAAAGAGACAAGGCAGATCTTTTGTTCTGGAGCGGTTTTGTTTCTGATAGGAAGGATTTCTTAGTTGCACACCTACATTTCCCAACAAACACCAGCATTTTAATATAAGATTTGACAATTACTGGCCGAGAGCTGGTCACATGATGGAGTATAGGGACTTGCCTTAGGTTGTTGATGACAACCACTTCCTGGAGGCGTGGCCAGCTTTGAAGAAAACTTGTTCTTTGAATTGTCAGCGCCGTTATGAAAGATGCAGCCTTGTGGTGTGTTTAAATGGCCCAGCGTTGTATTGAATAAAAAAAAAAAAAAATCATTTCGGCTTCTTCCTTCTTCAGGGTCGCCACAGCGAACTAAGTCGCACAAAAAATAAAAATAAACCTTCTAAAATTGCAATAGATAGCTTCTTTGGAGCCTAATTCATACGAGTTTGAGAACACAGGTGGTGGGACAGGTCGATGCATTTAAATACTTGGTACTGAGATCGACTGCCACCTGTCCTCACAACATGCACAGGGAGTTTATTTAAAAAAAAAGAAAATCTTTCCTGAGAAGGCTCCAAGCAAGATTTCAAGGTCAAACAGGACAATTTAACAAGAGTGTACCGGTCACTCATTAAGCCAATTTTTGTGTTCTCGTCACGGTAAAACTTTCTTACAGAAAAGTAAGAAAGATGTTCTTCTAAGATGTTTTATCATCAAACAGGCAGATAAACCTATCAGAACCCCTCAAATGCATCTCCCAGAACTTTATAGTCGTGCAATCTGAAGGAAAGCAAGCTGTGTCACCAAGGACCCTTCACACCCACCTCACCAGTCATTTCAACACCTACCTTCAGGTAACTGTTTTAGAGTATCATGGCCAAGAAAAACACATACAAACTATTTTATTCTCACTGCAGTCAGCCTTTTAAATAAAGGAAATAGTAGATGTGCAGATGTGTCAGCACTTTGGTTGGCCTTGTTGCTGTTTTAAGTGCTATATAAATAAATTGGTATGGTATGCTATGATTGTATGATTTTATTAACATTCCTGCAAATTTGTTGCTTTTCGGTGAAATTTGCCGATTTCAAACAAAATGTAATTTATGTGAATCATATATATCTGCAGAGTTTGGGTCAGATGTGTGGTATGGCATAACCATTGACTGGACTTAAAGAAACAACAAGGTTTCTGTCTACAATAGAGCATCTTTGGTGGAACGTAAGTCATTTGGCCAATCACAATCAAGATAGACGATAGGGAAATCTTTCCCATGGACGAAGGGAACTGGTCTACTTTATAACTAGTCACTTCTAATGTTGGACACTGTTAGTTTTGAGGTAAGTCTCATTATCTGGCATACAATATAATATGCTATGTAAGTGAAACGATTTGTCAAAAAAATAATCCTACTGTAGCAACGTTATGTGTTTTGCGATCCGTTACTTTTTCCAACATAACGATCTGTAATGGAATGAATTGTGTGTTAAGGTTAACCTACAGTGTGACTCGGTTCAATGTGAATAATTTTGGGAAGGCTATCTCGAATGCATCCGTATTGCTGTCTGAAAATAATGCATCATTGTCATAAAATGAGAGAAATGAAAACTAACATGCAACAGTGTCAATGAAACATGACACACCAGAGTTTTGTTTAAGTGATCGAAACATCTGCTCTGGCGGATCATTAGGGCAATAAATAGAACAGGAGCAAGAGAGTGTGGCATGAAAGAGGCACGTGGCCAAGCAGCGAAAAAAGGACCGTTAAAAGGCTTGTCCAGTTCATTCCTTCTGTCAGTCATCAGATTTACCCTGACATCTGAAGTGAAAACAATTGTTCACGTTTTCTAAAGTAAAGTGTATAAAATCAGGACGTCAGACACGCAGCTGTTGGTTAGCCGTGACCGTGGAGCATTTATTCAGATCAGAATAATAATTTTTATTACAAGACACAGAAACTCATAATTTTCCCCACAAATTCAGATGTGTACAAATAATTTTCCGCAGCAGCTGCAGGTTATTTTGGACTTTTCCAGTTTCTTCAGTGAAAAAGAGCTTGTTTTTACCAGCCTTAAGTTCTCTTTGTAACCGTTATTTTTATACAACTCCTGGTTAGAATTTGGGCATGATTCATACCAGGATCGCTGAAGACAATACATTAAAGAACGATTAATACTTGAAATGGTTCAATTCAGAGCGTTTTTCTCAACGGATGATGGGATGGATCATCTTCTGTAAAACAGACGCACATTTACATCATTTGATGTCGACTTCTCAATCATGATATTTCAGAAGGAGTGGTGGTGCCGAACCTTGTCTGTTCCACATCCTCGATGGTTTCAGGCAGACGGACGTTCATAGTCTCAGGAAGAAAAGACACCGACAGAGTTGCAATCAAAGCTACCAGAGTGAAGAGAATGCCGGGCAGGTAGCTCCAGGTGTCTTCAAGGATGATAATCAGCGGCGATACAGCCACACCGAAACGGGCCATGAAGGAGCTGTACCCCAACCCATTTTGCCTGTGGAACAAACCCAATAATTTCTTATTGTACCATCTTCATGACATGAAGAAAACCATATGCTTGTTTTTCTATGAGATAAAAGTGTTTTCTATGTGTTGGTTAGTTTGTCCTGACCTCATAACCGTTGGGTAAAGCTCTGTTGTGTACAGAAACAGCGTTGTAAAGGCCCCCTCTACAAACATCTTGCCCAAGGCTCCTACAGTGGTCCGGGCAGTGCTCTGATCTGAGGAGATTAAGGATTTTCAGCTTCGGAAATGGGTGCTTATCACTGCCGAGGACATTTTATCTTGGAAATTCAATCCATAAAACACTTTTCTTTCAAGTCTTGAAGTGCTCACTGTGCTTGTCACAGATTAAAGCAATAGTTAATATCTTACCTGTGGTAGATAGCTCTTTATCAACGTCCATTTGGAGAGAAAATGTTAAATTCTGAGCAGAATGAAGAGCGGGACCACAGTGGACTGATGCCATCTCAATCAACGGTTTATGTTTTGTAAATTTTACATTACTGTCAATGAGCATTACGAAGTTGTTTACATAAAATCCTGGGATTGTTTCAAAAGAAAAACAAGCGCAGCGGCTAGCTGTAGCACTTCTTTTGCAGCCTAAAGCACTTCCTGCAGAAATATAATAATTTCTGTAATGTCAAGAAGTACTCTGACATTTTTAAGATGTTTTAGGAGGTCATCAATCTATTTGGTCCCACCCCCATTCTGACTAGCTATTAGCTCGTCAGTCTCTTCAGAATTTGTTCAATGTTTAAAATTTTGATTTAATTGTTTTTGTTACTTATGATTATATTTTGCACCGCCTGAGCTGTGATTTGATGTTGAGTCTGTGCAGCACTTTGGTTTGCCGCAATGTTTCAATGTGCTTTTTTAAATAAAGTTGGATTGGAGAATTACATAGTGTCCACAGGCTCACTTTAAAACACCTGAGCTACCCCTTTATTGGTGCTGTCTCAGACAAACTTGAACATTTTCACCTCGCGGGATCAGCAGGCTGGAAAATATACACAGTCCGGTCAGGAACAGCGCCCCAGCTTGAGTCATCCTTCGGCCGATTTTATCCAGAAAGTAAATGACGAGGGCTTTCGCCGGCACTTCTGACACGCCGTAGATGAACTGTGTGAGATAAATGTTGTCTCCAAATCCATCGACGTTCAGACTGATTCCATAATAAGTGCAGGCCACTCCAAACCTGTGCACAAGAGCAGAGCAAGTCGCTTGTTTCGGGACGTTAGCGCACGGTTAGTTCATGTCCTCGGAACAAAGACTGTTTCAGATTGGTGATTGTGCGACTCGGCATCAATCCTTCTGCCTCGTCTTGTACTGCTGCTAACACCTCCCACATTAAAAATGACTCTCACCACACCGTGCCGGTAAGAAGAGCCAGTTGTCTCATTTTGGGAGTCCGTATGAGGTCCATAAAGGAATATTTTCTCTTTTCATCTTCGACAAGTATAACTTTGGACAAAACCTGGGGAATAAAAATGAACATTTTAATCAGAAAACGAGAGTTTTGCAGCTTTAACGCTTTGATTAATTAATCGTTTACCTCGGGCTTCAGATCAGCCATGAACTCCTCTCTGTTGTTGCATTTTGCACATTTATTCAGATAAAAATGAGCTCTGTTCACTCTTCCATTGCTTATGAGCCACCTGGCGGACTCGGGGAGCCACCTGGGACACACGTTTGTTGGAAAATGTGAATAAACTCAAAACTCAGCTGCTTCATTAAAACCTCATCTTGAGGAATAAATCTTACCACCAGGTGATCATGGCTACAAACAGCGGCGTGGTCACAATGGCAGTCAGATACCTCCAGTCATTCACAAAATAAGCCACGGCAGGTAATACAATGGTGGAGAGACTCCAATCCAGACTCAGCAAAACTCCCACCAGGGTCCGATGCTTGATGTCCACCCATTCAATGCCTGTACAGACAGGATTAAAACCATTCTAACCTTGAAGGATCAACTTGACGAGTCATTTAGAGATAACAGGGATAGCTCAGCAAACAGAAATGTAAAAATGAATCACATCTTCCTTTATTTAAAAACAAAAATGTGCTTACCTTTACTTTTACTGGTGAAATAAAATCACATATGGTCACAAAACTGGTCCAAAATATTTCTTGTTGGTTTTTAAAACCCCTTGAAGAGCCGGAGAAGCTGACGACGGTAATTATTTAAATGTTTCTAAATCGTTTTCGTTGAGATTTCTTCTCTTCCGTTTGTTTTTCAGCACGCAACTCATTCCTCGGTTTTTGTTCACTTTCAACAATTCATGTCTCAAAACGTTCGGGACATTCCTGCTGGGACTGTCGGTGTTTGTGCAGTTTTTACTTTTTGAAATAGTTATCTTTGTCGGCCATGTCTTCCTCACTGAAGATGAATGGAGCTCTCTTCACATCCTTCAAACCTTTTAAAACCTTTTACTGCTCATTTCAGCTGTTGTTCTGTTTTCAACTCATTTTAGTTACGTTCTACTAAATTCTGACTTTTTTTTTTGCTACTTTAGAGGTATTTTTCTGCAAATTTTAACTTTTTTTTCTTATTATTTCCACTCTTTGTTATTCTTTCAAACAAAGTTGACTTTTTATGCATTTTCCGGCCTCTTTCTGCTAATTTCAGATTTTAATAGCTTTTTTAGCTAGATTTTTTGGGTCTAATTTAAGACCTTTTATAAATTATTCAGCCTCTGCCTTTTTCCAGCTTCTTTTTCTTCTGCTGCTCATTTCTACAGTTTTTCTGCTGCTTTCTGCTTTTATCTTCCTGCTTTCAACAAATGTCAGCTCTTCAAATTGAACTCTCATTATTAGTTTGGAGATGCTCAACAAAGGTCATCTGGATGGTTTCTTTTTTTGTTGTTGTTGAGACGTTTCATCCTTCGTACAGAGGACTTCCATCAGTCCGAGGAGCCACAAACAAACTCAGTCCCACAAGCAGCACACTCACATGCGATGTGCTGCTTGTGGGACTGAGTTTGTTTGTGGCTCCTTGGACTGATGAAGTCCTTTGGATGAAGGACGAAATGTCTCAACCAAAATAAAAAATAAGCCGTCCAGATGACCTGACTGAACTGTTGGATTTTTTACCTGGATTATTGGGCGTGAACTTTGAAGTTTGGAGATGAAAAACCTCTTCGGCTGGCTTTAGCTTCTTCAGCAGCTTTCAGAAAAACATTCTTCAATAAGAATTCTTGCTGCGTTTTCACAGGGAGTGACATTTCTCTGGTTAATGTTTGGGCTGTTAGCCTCCTCAGTGACCCTGCAGTCAGCTGCTAACGTGCTAGCTCTTGCAGCTTGTTGTAAACGTCCATTACAAACAGTAAAATGAGAGATGAGTGTTGCCTCTCTGGGAAACAAGCCAAGACTGATGGTTATTCACTGATGAAACGCACAGCACATCCACACTAGGCTTTTTTAATGAGCACAAACCTTTAGGAGAACTTTCCCCTCAGCTACCGGACACAACTGAATGATGGCTCGGAGCAACAAGTAGGACAGACTCCATCTGATCGGAGGAGCAGGGAACATAACAGTGCTTTGTCTCTGGTGTCTTAGTCCAGGCAGTAAAACCTTAGGAATGGCATGGCGATGAAATGTTTTGACACCTTGACTTTTTTAAAACCATGATATTTCTAAGCTGTTTTTGGCATATGCCAAGACCTGACACCAGATGGCCACCGCAGGGCCTTCTGTTTAAAGCTGGAAGGTAATGACCCACCTCTGCCCCCTGGAAACATCAGCCCTGGCCTGGGACTGAAGTCAGCTTCAAAAGTCTAACGGTTAAATAAACTTGCAAAACATAATAAAACCATGCGAACTTACAGAGAACGATGGAGACTATACTTATTCCAGAAATCCCGAATCCAGAAAAAAACCTCGTGACAGCGAACGAGGAAAAGTTATAAGAAAAAGCACTGGCAAAACCAAAGACTGCAGTTATGATGTAAGACACAAGAAGTGTCTTTTTACGGCCAAACCTGTAACAAAAAATAAGTTGTTGACATAAATATTAAATAATTCAAGATGATTCTTTTTTTCTTTCAGCTGCTCCAGTTAGGAGTCACCACAGGGAGTGAACATGCACAAAGTTCACGATTATTTAATTATTAAAAAAATATATATTTTTAAAATTACATACAAGAGCATATAGAAGTACACAATTCAATAAACAACATGTAGCGTGATTGATTTAGGCATTTTCTGCACAACTTTGACTTTACAGTAATTATTTATTTTTTATTTATTTTTTTATTTATTCTTTCTTTTTTTCTTTCTCTTTTTCATGCATGACTAAAAATTAGTTTCCACTTTGTGGAAACATTTGATTTAAATTTTGAGATAAAAACCAGAAAATGGTTCTAGTTTGTGGAAATTCTTTCAGTGACACTTTAGTATGAACTTGCAATTTTTTTTACTTTAAATATTTAAGTCTCAATTTGCAAAAAATGAAAAATAAAATAAATTAATAAATTAAAAAAGCAAAAATGATAATTCAGAGCAAAAATTTTATTTGCAAGTCACCTATTTATTAATTAAATTACTTTAGAAGACAATGAGAGGTTTCCATCAGTGATGCTTCTGGTGTAGATTCTCGGTCATCCAAGAAAAATTAGAAAAACAAAACAAAAACAAATAAAAAAAACAACCAACAACTGGATTTTTGTTATGTAGGCAAAATTGTTTAGATTCCTATTGGGGAGCTTTTACAATTTAAATATGGGGAGCGTGAAGTTCCAAGCTTTCAAACTGCATGAGACACTTCATGTATGGAGCTAAATTCACATTGGCAGGTTAAACTCCCTCCTGAGGGTCATCGGGGTCTTCGTGTCTCCCCTCCCTCGTGAGGGTCATCAGGGTCTTTGTCTCTCTCCCCTTCCTCCTGAGGGTCATCAGGGTCTTTGTTTCCCTCCCCTCCCTCCTGCAGGACATCAGGGTCTTTGTCTCGCTCCCCTCCCTCCTGAAGGTCATCAGAGTCTTTGTCTCCCTCCCCTCCCTCCTGAGGGTCATCAGGGTCTTTGTTTCCCTCCCCTCCCTCCTGAGAGTCATCAGGGTCTTCGTCTCTCCCCTCCCTCCTGAGGGTCATCAGGGTTTTGTCCCTCCTTTTGCTCATGAGGGTCACAGCATCCCATGTCCCTTCCCTCCCTCTTGAGGGTCATCAGGGTTGTGTCCCTCCCTTCCCTCCTGAGGGTCATTCGGGTCTTTGTCTGCCTGGCTCACAGAGATGTTTTGGTCACCTGCATGAAGGTGTGAATTAAAGTAAAACTGAATGACAGTCAGGCTCAATGCCACACCATGCTACTCAGTTTGGGTTTGGGAGTTCTGTCCTCAGGGTAGACCAGCCTCTGTTTGAAGGTCCTGTTGGGTTTGTAATGTACGGGGATGTTGATGTATTTTTCAGATATTCCAGTAACATACAGGATGACAATGTTTCTGGGTTTGTTGTTCTCCTCTTTCTGTTCTGAAGCATGTTTTCTAGATGTCCTCGATGGTGAAGAGTTCTATTAACAAAATGTGTGTTCCAGTGGGTCCTGAGAGGTCAACAGATCCATGTGCGCAGGTTTCCTGTAAGCTTCAATGTTGAGGCTTCCCTCTCTTTCCATGTTCACCAAACAGTCCAGAAAAGGCAGCTTGTTGACGTTGATGTCCTCTGGTGAACTTGATGCTGTTGTCCACAGAGTTGGTCTATCTGATGAACCATCTACTTCTTTAGCTTGGATTTTGTCGTCCTCATATCAGAACCAGTGGCTCGGTGTTGTTCCTTTGAAAGTGTCCAGTGCTCTCTGTTCCACTTCCTCTATGTAGAGATTAGCTAAAATTGGTGATCCTGGAGATCCCATGGCACAACAAGGCTTCTGTCTGTAGAAGATGTCATTGAACTTGAAATACGTTGTGGAAATACAAGGGTCCAGCAGGGTACAGGTCTGCACCGGTGTGGACCTGCTCCTGTTGCTGAGGTCATAATCTTGTTGAAGACATTTCCTGATGGTTTCTACTGCCTCTAATTTGGGTATAGTGACATCAGAAGGTAGAAGAGTTTATCCTGGAGCCATCATCAAATGTTTCACTTTGTAAAGAACATGGAGTTCTCTGTGATGTGGTGTGTTTCCAACAAGAGGAGCTAAAATACCAGTAAGATGTTTTATAATTCACAGAGTTTTGGCTGCTGCTGATGGGTCTGAGTGGTGCGTCTATTTAGTGGATTTTGAGCTGTCCAGATTAGCATGGAGTTGCTTCCTCTGGATATAATCCGTGGTAAAATGATCAGTGGGTTGACTGATTGCTGGTGCTGTCAGTAATGTGGTTATTTTTTTCTGGCATTCAGAAGTGTTGAGGACCACTGTGTGTGAAAATGACGACAAGCTCACTGGAAAGGAAGCAACACGTCTTCAAGTACAGACTAGAAGGGCAGTAGTTTATAGTTTAGGAGTTAAGGTTTTAGAATGCTAGACTTGTAATTATTGTTATGTTTGTAAACTGCAGGCAATTTTTTAACCTAAAATTAAATAAAAATTTGTGCAAAGGTGTCGTTCAAAGTGATTCCAAGTAAAGCTTAATGTATTTTCATCAGTTTTGTCTCTAACTCCTCCCTAACAGTTGTAGCCCAATGGGATAGTAACAACACTTTATTTGATCAATCATAATTTACTGTTTAAATGGTGCATTGTCTGTATATTAAAATAAATCAAAGTAGAGGAGAAGCAGATGTTTTATGTGACGGGCTTCCACACCTGTCACTGTGATAGCCAAAAGCTGCTGCTCCAACCATGACCCCCATGAAGAAGATGGTGGCTGTTGCTCTGTTCAAGCTTTTCTTCTCACAAACCAGATCCCACTTTGAGAGAAAAACCCAGAACAGAAAGTTCAGACATGAAGAGCTGATCCTCAGTCATAAAATGAAGTTTTCAGAGAACATACCTCAGTTGCGAGGGTGCTTTTGAACGTGGTGTTGTCATACGTCCAGCCGCTCCTGCATGGCACTTCAGGCAGGTCAGTAGTGTTGGTGGAGTTGAACAGCAGGTGATACTGAGGTTCTGCAAACATCAGACAGGAGCTCGGACTCCCATCTTGCTGAAAAGGGATGCTAACAACAAGCTTCTCCTGCTGAGACAAATTCCCAAATGTTCCTCCATCATCCAGAGAGCTGAGGGCACAGTGGTGAGCCGGAATACTCGCAATGAAATTATTCAGCAGGAAGTGAAAAGGCAGCGTCACACGAGGAATTACGAGCAGAAGCATCATTCTTATTTGGAATTTCCCAAAGCCATTAACCTCTGCCAGCACATTGTCAAACTTCATTCTGCTGGTAGATGAAGCAGCAGCGGAGAATGACAGTATCACACAGCTGATGAGCAACAAGCCCCTTTTCTCTGTTCGTAACTTCTAGCTAATGGTCAGCAAAGGTGGGAGATCATTGAATGGAAGGTAGGTAACATACTGCTAACAAATAAGTGGCCTCATTCATTTGTGGACAAGCGACTCTTCTTAAACAGTAACTTTTGCAACAGAAAGGTTCTGAAGTGTTGATGATTGATGTCTCATGACTCAATATATTGTCATTTAAAAGTAAAATATTTGCAGCATACTCAGAAATTGCTGTAAAAAGTACATTTTATTCTTTTTTACATAAACACTAAGGTTAAAGAGTGACAAGTAGGCAGTGTAGGTAACTTAAAAGCATTTACTGTAAGTGAGTTCATCCCAAAGTCAAACTGTGAGATCTTTAGAAAAAATGCACAACACCTAAAACAGGGCTCTTCAATTAAAACTCACTGAGGTCCAATTACTAAAATTTCTTTCTAGTAAAAGGTCCGAACTATGTCCAACGTTTGTCTTATGGCCTTGCCTACTTGTAGTCACATTTTCACTGTTAACAAACTGAACTGTAAAGTAAACAACTAGCTCCAACATTTTTCAGTCAGGTCATCTGGACTGTTTCTTTTTTTTTGTGCTGAAACATTTCAGCACAAAAAAAAATAAAGAAACTGTCCAGATGACCTGACTGAAAAATGCTGGATTGAATACCTGGATTATTGAGCACGAACTTTGTTGTAAACAACTAGCTCTTTTACCGTATTTAAAAGTAGTCCCAGGCAAATAAATTTAGGGATTTTATTTCAGATTAAAAGAGAAAGCTCAGAATAAAAAACATTTGAAATGTGCAAACAGAGCCTATTAAGCCTTTTTCTCTTAAACTGAAGAGGTTTAAGAGAACTGAAGGCTTACACTTAAAGTAAAACAGTTAACATCTTTAGAAAACAGAAAACAATTAAAAATGTGGCTCTATAATATAAAAAAGTGTAAACAGAGCAACATTTTTCTCCTTTTTTTTTGCTTAAAGAGGCACCAACATATAAAAATTTAAGCTTTCAAGTAAAACATGTCAACATCTTCAGAAAACAATAAATCAAAATGGATCTTTTAGGAAAAAAAAACTGAAAACAGAGCTTTTAAGCACAGCATGTAAAGTCCAAGACTAGACAACAAAACAAGTTTAACTTACTAATAACTCATCAACACCATCACAGTTCCAATAACAACACATTCAGTGTAGGACAACACTCCAGTAGTCAATTATATGTCAGGGAGACAGAAAAGTGGGTGAAGAATTTATCTGACAGACAGCTCACCCAGCCGGAGACAGAGATTCTTGCCAGGGGACTGAACTTTGCGGTTGCACCAAGTAGAATTCCTCTGGTGGAGATGATCACAGCCACAGAATCAGCCATCCGCAACAACAAAATTAAAGAGGGTGAAGCAGAACAGCTCAGGTTTCATCCTACCTCAGCAATGCCAAACCACCACCTTCAAACATCAGTAGAGAGGAGAGGGATGCACTCACCACTCTTAGCAAGGACAAAAACATCATCATTCTCCCAGCAGACAAAGGAAGGTGCACAGTGATTTTGAACCAGAAAGACTATCATGAGAAAGTTATGACACTCCTTAGTGACTTAAACACTTATGAACCTCTGAAAAGAGATCCAGGAAGTGGTTACAAGAAGAAGTTAATAGATTGCCTGAAAAATTTGGAGCAGGACAAGGCTATTGACCGTTTTCTGTACCACAGACTGTACCCAGGGGAGGCCACACCTAGTCTGTATGGTTTACCTAAAATCCACAAACAAGGTGTACCTTTAAGACCAATCGTTAGCATGATTAACTCTGTCACTTCCAATGTTTCCAAATATCTGGTGTATGTACTCATCCCTTTAGTTGGCAGCTCAGAACACCACATACAGAACACCATGGACTTTGTGGATAAGGTGAGGGATGTCATCATGGAGACTGATGAAACAATGGTCTCTTTTGATGTCACATCACTCTTTACGTGCATTCCTGTTGATGATGCAGTAGAGGTGGTCAGTTTAAGATTAAAATCAGACACCACTCTGAGCAGCAGGACCACACTTTCTACAGAACAACTGTGTCAACTCTTGAAACTGTGCCTGCAGTCAACCTACTTCACATATGGGGAGCAATATTATAGGCAGAAACATGGGTGTGCTATGGGGTCTCCAGTTTCTCCTATTGTTGCCAACCTGTACATGGAGGAGGGAGAAAAGAGAGCCTTGACGTCCTTTTCAGGGACACCACCAAGTCATTGGTTCAGGTATGTTGACGACACCTGGGTTAAAATTAAATCTCAGGAAGTCCAACATTTTACTGACCACATCAACTCTGTGGATAAATACATCAAGTTCACACGAGAAGATGTAAAAAATGGCAGGTTGGCTTTCTTGGACTGTGAAGTCTCAGTCTCTGATAGAGGACATTTGCAAACTGAGGTGTACCGCAAACCCACCCACACAGACCAGTATTTGCAGTTTGACTCCCATCACGCTTTGGAGCAGAAGTTAGGAGTCATCAGGACTCTGTATCACAGAGCAGACAGCATCCCCACTAGCTCAGGAGCCAGGCAGAAGGAGAAATCCTACACGAGACAGGCTCTAGAGCAATGTGGATATCCTAACTGGGCCTTCCTGAAAGCAGAGAAGAAACCCAAACAGGACTCCAGTCAGCCAACAGGTGAAAAGGAGGAACCCAGACCAGTGGTCATTCCATATGTTGAGGGGGTATCAGAGAAACTGAGACGTTTATTTTCTAAACACAATGTCACAGTGGCTTTTAAACCCCAAACTACATTACGGCAAAGACTGGTTCATCCCAAAGATCCAGTCCCCCGGCACAAACAGAGTAATATTGTGTATGCTGTTCAGTGTCAGGAGGGCTGTGATCAGTCTTACATCGGGGAAACAAAACAGCCACTGGCCAAAAGGATGGACCAGCACAGAAGATCAACATCATCAGGCCAGGACTCTGCGGTCTACACTCATCTCCAGGCCAGCGGTCACTCTTTCAGGGATGAAGATGTTCACATCCTGGACAGAGAGAAACGATGGTTTGAGAGAGGAGTAAAGGAGGCCATCTTTGTGAAAAGAAATCGTCCATCGTTAAACAGGGGTGGAGGCCTCCGGGTTCAACTGTCCCCCTCTTACAATGCTGTGATTGCTAGTATCACTCAGCCCTCTGTGAACAGTAAACAGCCATCAGTGTGCTAATGATCCATTGTTAGGCTGATGGTCCTTCTTGAGCATGTGATCAGCTGGTTTTGGTTGTCAGCAGCAAACTGGTTGATCCACTCTAAGAAGGTGCTATTTAAGAGACTGAGCTGAATACAGCACCTCAGACTGAGGAAGTCTCTCGGATGAGAGAGGAAACGTTTCTACATTTTCTTGTTGTTTTGCTTTGTTTTGTTTTTTGAATGTCCAGAGGACCAGATTTAACTTTTTTAGATTTTTCTACCTGGATTATTGAGCATGCATCAGGATATTTTAACAACACCTTTTATTTTTAATTATTCTTATTTTACTTTTCTTAATGAGAGAAATTGTCATGGGATTGTCCTGCCAGTGTTAAATCTTGGTTGGAGTCAGAGCCATTCTCATCTAGGACGCTGAGCATCATCAGTAACATTTGTAGACACATCGATGGCCAAAGAGATGCATGGTGCACTCTGAACAGCTGCATCCAGCTGTGCCAGAACATCATCTGCTAATATTTCTGATTGGTGTTGAAGCTGACATCGGGATTTGTATGCTTTTTTCACACATCTCGTCTTTTTGTTTTCCATCAAGTCTCAGCAACAGCATTTAAGCACTCCTTCAGGACTGTCCCATCACTAAATGTTTTTTTTATGTTGCTCCAAAATCCATGATACCTTGAGTGAACATTCAGCAGCTGCTGGGCTGTAAAAGTATTTGTGATGAGGAGGGTGGTTGTGTCATACTGGGCTTGCAGTTTGGTTAATTTACTGCTCTCTGCTCGGACTTCAGCAGATAACGTTGCTCAAAAGAGATGTAGTGAAGATCGCTTCACATTGCCATTTTTAATTAATGCGACCGTTTCGGAGCACGTGAGGCAAACGTTTTGAACTTCCTGCCGGAAGAATGAACATAAATTTCTCTGTCCATTCATCTTTACAACAGCAGTTTTCAGCATCAACTTTTCTTATTTTGGAGCATAACATGATGTGTCTTCCTCTTTCCTCCTTCTCAGCTCATCTCTGGTGAGACTGAGCTCGGTGCACCGGCCGTGCAGGGAAAACTAAACATTTGATTGGCTCATATTGAGTGACGCTATTACTGTAACACCTGAAGTAAAGTGAACCTCCAAAACACACCTCCTGCTTCTCTGATTGGCTCTGCACCTAAGCCGTCTATCGCTGGAAAAATGCTCCATGAAAATTATCTAGTTTCGTGAATTTATCAGATTGGGCACGGGTCCGGACAGAATCATCATTGGGTCCAAATCCGGACCCACGTCCACCTATTAGTGACCTATGACCTAAAATAATCTACAGGAATCAGTTTTTATGCTGAACAAGGAAGAATTGTTTCTAAAAGGTTATCACTGTTTAGGACATGCACCTGAGCAAACTACAAACCCTCTGGAAAAATGTCCTTTAGACAGAGCAATCAGTTAGTATGCTCACGGAAACAAAATGTTACAAACTCAAATTGGGGGGAACATGAAGCAAGTCTTTTCAATGGATAACAAAAGCAGTAGTATGAACACATTGCTGGCCCAGAGTCAGTAGGATGTGGAAGGAGGTCATGACTGATGGTTGATTGAAATATTTCTGCTGTTTTATCCTTTCCTGCAACAGGATGGAGTGGTGGACATGAAATAGCAACAGGCCCTCAAGATCCTGCTGGTTCTGGGATGGATCCGAAATTTGAGCTGGTCCCGCACATGCTTGATTAGTAAAAGTTTGAGGGACCCAACTGGTCATAGCGGGACCTAGACATAAATCAGACTGTCCAGAGACACATGTACCCTGTGTAAACGAACGTGGATTAGGTATGTTACTGATGTAGCAATGGGCAGTCAAGGTGCACTGAATCCCTACCAGAGATGTCCTGAAGTCACACCCTATGGCTCCTCACACCATGACACCCAGAGTAACACCTGTGTCTCTCTCAGGGTCAGTCCTCTGCCCCCACAGCTGTCTTTTATGCACACAATGGCCACCTGAGGTAATGCAGCACTGAAACTCAATTCTGAGCGTGATACAACACTACTCATTGTCCTTCCATGCATCATTGTTATGGCACCAGTCCAACTGCAGCTAACTCTGCTCTGGTTGCTGGTTCCAATCATTCAATCATAGTGCAGAATCACCAGTAAAAAGTCCAGACCCTATGTTCAGATGGCAGGTGCAGGTGGCACCGGGTTCTGTAATACTCTCCACACATAATGATGATCATCCCTTCGTGTGCTCTGTCTCGGGATAACCAGAACCTTCATGACGTGTGGATACCTTCACTTATTCATTGGTTCCTGCACTGGGTCACTGTGAAATCTGTACATGACACACAAATATATGATCAAAGAGTGTCATGCAGGGCAGCATGGTGGCACAACTGGTAGAGCTGCTGTCTCTCAGCAAGCAGATCCCCGGCTCAAATCCCAGTCTGGGGGCCTTTCTGGGTGGAGTGTGCACATTCTCTCCGTGCATGCGTGGGTTTTTTCCAGGTACTCCGGTTTCCTCCCACAGATCAAAAACATGCATGTTAGACTGATTGGTGACTCTAAATTGTCCCTATCACAGAGTTGATGGGTGCTGATTTGGGAGTTGTTTTAACACTTGTGGTGATCAAAAAGCTCTGAGCGGTGTGAGTCAAGCACGGTGTTAACACCTGTGACTGAGTTAGATTCACTCCAGGTGGAGTTGATAAATGTTTAAGTTTTCTTTCCTTTTCTCATCTAAGCAAAATATTATTTCGAATAAGAATAAGAGGGCCGCGCTATTTAATAGCTGCAGCTTTGTGCACTCCGCCCATCTTTCGGTCGACTGTACGTACATATTCTTGATGTATCTCGGTGCAATGACAATAAAGTTTATTCTGATTCTGATTATTCTGAAGTTGTGACTGATCTTGTTATTACGCTAATTCCTATGGTGATGGGAAGTTGCTTTAAAAAAAATATATATATATATAAAGAATTATTTTATTTTTTTTACTTTCTCGCTGTTGCTGGTCAACACATCTGAACTTATGATGCAACTGTAAAGAGTGTGTTGTGTGTGTTAACTTTCTGTAGCCTTACTGGTGACTACAAGAATTTTCAGATTTGGTGACATGCATGTTAGGCTAGTAAACACAGAATGCACTTTTAATGTTTTGTAAAACAAAACAATGAATGTTAACACATTAGTGAAAGGAAATAACACAATTTTAGTGTTAAAAACACTTAATTACGTCATAAAATAACAATTATATTAAAAAATTAACACAGTGAAAGGGAATAACACTATTTTGAGTTAAACGTGCACTTAAGTGGTGTCATAAAACAACACCAAGGGTGTCAAATATTTAACACTATTAAAGAGTTAAAATATTAACACTTTTCAAAGTGTACTTTTAACTTAGAATCTGTGACAATTATATAAACTCAGAACAAGTGTCAAATTGAACACTGTGAGTTGAATTAATACTCCTGTTTTTGCTGTGAGACATGAGAGAGAGAAAGAATGGTTGTTTGTCCCGTTTGTCTCTGTGTGTCCCTGTGTTGGACTTGCAACCTGTCCAGGTGTACCCCGCCCCTTGCACAGATTGCTGGACATGGGCAGCAGCGACCCCGTGACCCAAAATGAAGAAGCAGGTAAAAGATAACCCACAATGCAACCTGTCAAACTTGATTAAATCATGGTTATGCTGTCAAATGTGCCGAGGAGGCATCTTCTTCCTATTTAAATCAAATCATTTACTTACCCATCACTGGTCTGCATGTGTACCAAATTACGTCCAAATTGGACCATTCCTTCTGAGTGTTTCTTCTTTAGTTTTGCTTGGGTCCATTAGGAGATGGACAGAGTTTCCCTTTGTGTTTTTTAGTTAATGTTTTTTAATAATATACACCCATGAAATCCCTTTTTGTCAAGCACTGTGCTAACACCAGCAGAGCTAAAGGCAGGGTTGTTGCCTCCATGTGTACATTACTGACAATAATATAATCTATGCATGATATTTTGTAATTTAACACTATTATTTATGTCTACAACCTTCGGCATCCAAACCAAACAAAAATGTAAAGTCTCACTCCTCAACTCAAAAGTTGAACAGTAGACAAACCTCCATCGTTCTGGTTTCAGTATTTATTGGTCATTTTAACAACAGTTTGTTAAAAACAGGACAGTTCTTAATTTCCAAATTAACAGCTTCTTTTAACAATTAAAACGTTCTTTTTTCAGTGATGGATGGACGACCTGATCAAGGTGTGTCCCACTCCTCCCCCTGAACACGTTTGGTTCAGAAAATGGACGGCCTGTTGGGTTTTATTCAGTTTCTTTCTTTCTTGTTGATTGTCTCCTGCAATTCAGATTTGACAAAGTCATTAATTATGTTAAGCATTGATATTTTCAAAAATATTTTGTGAAAATGAAACCTTTGACACCACATTAGCAGCAAGACTCAGTAACTAGCTAACCGTAGATTTATTGTTGGATCCTATTCATGGTTACCTGGGTTTTTCGATGTCTTCAATTAACTGTGGCAGCTGGGTGTTTAATGTTTCAGGCAGAAGCAAAGTAACCAAACCAGAGCAAATAGCCACAGCGCAGTACGTGGCTGCAGGGAGGAAATGCCACACATCGTCCAACAGCACGACGAGAGGAGAAATGGATACCCCCAACCGTGCCAGAAATGATGTGTAGCCTAAACCGTTCTGCCTGGAAGAAAAAAAAACCTTTGGCTTAAAGCAACACAGTCTGATAAATCATCATCAAATTGGCTGGGGATGTTTGTCCATGACTAACCTCACTACAGTTGGATAAAGTTCAGTTGTGTAGAGGAAGAATATTGTAAACGAGGCCTCCGACATGGATTTACCAAGAACCGCCACAATCGTACGAATCACTGACTTATCTGAAGGGGAAATGTTTTCAAAGTTGACAAAATACAATCAAAAATCTAAAACTATAACTCATAACAAAGATCAAGTGAAGCACAAAGAGAGAAAAAACCTTCTGGGATGAAAATGTTGATGAAGAGGCAGAGACCGGTGGAGAGCAGGGCTCCCGTTTCACATTTTCTCCTGCCCATTTTCTCCAAGCAGAAATAAACCCCGATCTTCATTGGCATCTCGATTGAAGCGAAGATGAACTGCGTGAGGTAAGGATTCAGCCCGAAGCTTGCGATGTTCAGACTTATCCCATAATAGGTAAATGCAACGCCATACCTGCAAAACAAAATGAGATTCAGTCTTTTAAATCAACAGTCATAACTTTAATTCAACTGTTCTCAGGGCTAATCATACTTTATTTTTGTTTGATAGAAAAGTCTTGTAGCAGTTTTTGTGGTTAGAATTCATCATCAGTCCAATTAAATCAGCTTTCTCTAAATAATTTGGCATTTAAAAAATCGTGTTAAAAATATCATCATTACTAAATTATCGGTACATATGACATACAAGCATAATACATTATATGACTAAAGGTTTGACATTTTTAATTACATAAAGTTTCTGAATAAATTAACTTGTTTCAGCTGTGGCTGAGTGGTTAGATCAGTCGTACTCAAATGGGAGAGTTGGGGGTTCGATTCCACCAGCAGTCACATGTTGAAGTGTTGCTGGGCAAGACATTGAACCCCTCATTGCCACTGATACGTGTCCCATTGGTGTATGGATGTGGTCTAAAAGCACTGATTAGTCTCTAAAGATTCAGATTATCTTTGTAGAGATCTAGTAGAGCACTGTGTGGATGAGTAAATGAGGGCACATATTGTGTTGTACTGTAAAGCGCTTCCACCTGTTCCCTGTTCTCACCACAGATCACAATGTCATCTGCAAACATCATAGTGCACGTGGATTCCTGCCTGACTTCATCTGTTAGTCGGTCCATCACCAGAGCAAACAAGAAGGGACTCAGAGCCAATCCTTGATGCAATCCCACCTCTACCTTGAAGCTATCTGTCACTCCTACAGCACATCTCACCACTGTCCTGCTGTCCTCATACATGTCCTGTACCAGTCTAACATACTTTTCTGCTACTCCAGATTTCCTCATGCAGTACCACACCTCCTCCCTCGGTACCCTACTTTCTAAATCCACAACGACAAAATTGAGTTCTTTCTGACCCTCTCTGTACTTCTCCATCAGTATCCTCAATGCAAAGATGGCATCTGTGGTGCTCTTTCTTGGCATAAATCCATGCTGCTGCTCACAAAAAGTCACATCTCGTCTAAGTCTTGCTTCCACAACTCTCTCCCAGATCTTCTTTGACTCAACAAGTTAATTTCCCTGTAGTTGCTACAACTCTGTGCATCACCCTTGTTCTTAAAAATGGGCACCAGCATATTTTTCCCATTCCTCAGGCATTTCCTCACCCTCAAATATGCCAATGAATATTTGAGTCAAAAACCTCACTGCCATCTCTCCAAGACATTTCCAAACCTCCACTGGTATGTCATCAGGTCCTACTTCCTTCCCCTTCTTCATTCTTTTCAGAGCTTTCCAGACTTCACCCTCACTAATCTTTCCCACTTCCTGGTCCACAGTTTCTATGACCTCTACTCTTCTTTCTCTTCATTTCATTAGTTCCTCAAAGTACTCCTTCCATCTTCCAGTCAAGGTCTCCTCAATAGATAGAACATTACCATTCCTATATTTAACAAGCCCAACCTGCTACATATCCTTTCCACCCTGATCCCTCTGTCTCGCCAATCAGTAAAAAACCTTCTCACCCTCCAGCCTCCCATACAACTCATCGTACGTCCTCTGCTTTGCCTTTGCTACCTCCCTCTTTGCTCTACATTGCATCTCCTTATATTCTTGTCTCCTCTCTACAATCCTCACTGTCACATTTCTTCTTGGCTAACCTCTTTCTTTGAATAGCTTCCTGCAATTCACTATGCCACCACCAGATTTCCTTATCATCCACCAGATGACACACCAAGTACCTTCCTTCCTGTCTCTCTAATCCAGTTGCTGTAGTAGTCCAGTCATCTGGAAGCTCTTTCTTACCACCCAGAGACTTTAACAGCTCCTCTCTGAATTTCTCACAACATTCTTCCTTCTTCAGCTTCCACCATTTGGTCTTCTTCTCTGATTTTACTCTTTTTCTCTCATTCACAACAACAGTCGTTCTACACACAACCATCCGACGGTGTCTGGCCACAATTCCCCCTGCCACAACCCTACAGTCTCCAATCTCTCTCAGGTTTTTTTGTCTACACAGAATGTAGTCTACCTGCATATTTCTGACTCCAATCTTATAGGTTACTCTATGTTCCTCTCTATTTTGGAAATAAGTGTTGACTACAGCTATTTTCATTCTTTTGGCAAACTCCACCATCATCTGTCCTTCCTGGTTTCTTTCCTTGACACCAAACCTACCCATCATTTCCTCATCCCCTCTGTTTCCTTCACCAACATGTCCATTCAGATCTGCTCCAATCACCTCTCTCTTCTCCCTGAGAATACTCTCTATCACTTCATCCAGATCCTTTCAAAATTTATCTCTCCTTCACATCACATCCAACCTGTGAAGCTAACCACTGACAGTATTTAGCATTTGACCTTCTACTTCTATCTTCAGACACATCATACTATCTGACACTCTTTTCCCTCTACTACATTATTTTAGGGGTGGTCCTGAATTCCTCCTTCAGGACCACCCCTACTCCATTTCTGTTTCTATCCACACCATGGTAAAACTGTTTAAACCCTGCTCCAATGCTGCAAGCCTTGCTGCCCTTCTACTTGGTCTCGTGGACACATAAAACATCTACCTTCCTTCTCACATGAGCAGCTTGCTAACATTCTGCTTCTTCTAGCTTTTAGTTTTCTTCTTTTCTGATAAATCGACTGCAAAACATCAGATTTTTAAAGACCCTGAAACCCAATTACAGACTGACTAAGTAAACAAATCAGAGAATCACAAGGTTTCTTTCACAGAGCCAGCTGTGCCAAAGATATTTTTTAGCAAATAACTGATTAATATCAAAGTGTGTCCAAAAACAGGACAGAAGAACTGTTCTGTCCTGTACAGATAAAGTGACTGTTTTAGGAACTGTTGGGGACTGAGGTGTGTGTGGGTTTTTAATCTTTAATGTTTGTAATCTTCGCAGCAATAATAAATAGAGAAATACTTTAGAACGGAGCTACATTAAAAAAACAAGGTCTTTAAAACCATGTGGAAAAACTGAACAAGCAGACCCTTTTAGGCTGTTTTCTTCTTCATTTCAGTTAGAAATACCCTTCAGATATCATTATTATAATTATAAATATTATTATTATTATTGCATTATAACTATTACACAAGTGTGGATCATCCTTCCATCATCCATCCATCCATCCATCATCCATCCAGCGTTCATCCATCCATCATCTTTCCATCATTCATCATCTAGTTATATCATCCATCCTTCCATCCATCCATTATCCCTCCATCATCCATCCAGATATTTTTAAAGTGCTGAATATAATCATTGTTTTATAACTGTTTATGTACCACACTATTCCTGAGCAAATTGCCAGCTTTCTCATGTTTGGAGTCCTGAAAAGATCCATAATAGTGTGCTTCTTATCTGCAGTTTCAGCTTCTGCAGATTGCATTAATATCTGTAGGAAGACAAAGTTAGAATTATTCGTTTTATTTCAGGTTGTCAGTCATTTCAGTGGTGCAATTCATTGTGTTACACAACACTTACCCCTGGTGTGAGACTGGTGATGCTCTTGGATCTGCTGTTCACTTCAGCACAGTTCACGATGTACCGATGAGCGGCATCAAACCTCCCTTTCGCTACGAGCCAACGGGCCGACTCTGGAAGCCACCTGAAGGAAACCATTTCTGTGACTGCAGTTTCACAGCAACATTATTTTACTGAACACTGGTTCTTCTTTCACAATATTGTTTTTTTATTTTGGGAAGCATGGTGATTCAGTGGGTAGAGTTGTTGCCTCTCAGCGAGAAGGTCGCCAGATCACATCCAGGCTGTGAACCTTTCTGGGTGGAGTTCGCTCCGTGGGTTCCCATTTTGTTTTGATGTATGAAGTTGAATGTGCTTTCATGTTTACAAGTCCTTTATACAGGCCTGAGATAATCCTTCTATGTTTGTTTGAATCATATGCCTCTTTAAACTGGTCCAACAGCTGTTTGCTCAATTCTGACATTTGTTTTATCACTTAGTGATGGTAGTATGAAACAAAAGCTTCAAAACATGCTTCGAACCCTGCAGTAAAATTACATCGGAGCACTGCTTCGAAGCCTGTTTTGGTGAGGAAAAAGTCACATGACACGTGACATCCGAAACACAAACTGTTTCGTTGTCAGTATGAATTGCTTGACTGGTTCATGGTCCAAACACCTGATTCCCTGGCACCGCCTCGTCTCGATTCTGACAGGTGACAGGTTGAGACAGTTTTGAATTGAGAGCGCTCAACATTATCAAATAGCTCTAAAATATTTGCAATGTGTTGGAGAGTAGGTTTGTTTTTGCCGTTAGTTGAAATTGAGTAATTATGGAGGCAGCCAGGAAAAGAGGTTGTTCTAACATATGGGAACACTTCATTCTGCTCATGATAAGGTGGTTTTGACATTTAAATGTCAAAAAAGTTATAGTAATATTCAGCAGTGTAGATATTATCAACCCATTTAACCCATGTATTTAATATAATTACAGTAAAATGATGCATGTGATTGTAATAATCATATCAGTATGGGCTCAAATTATTATTTTTATTTACATTAGTGTATTTCTACAGGTGCAGTGTTTGGTGTGTTCACCTGAAGCATCATGATACCTCCTCTATGATTAGACACTTCAGTGCCAAACATGGAGATGCTGGAGACGTCATTTCATTGTTATTTTAAGAATGATAAAGACTCGGACTCTGCCACAGTTACACAAGCACAATACCATTGCAACATTTTTATTAAATCTCTTCAATGCACATGTATCAATCTTTATTCAAAAACATGTAAGCATAAATAAATATCAAACCAGACAACATAGAAAGTTGATGAATTTTAAAAAATCTGTTTTTTTACCACAGTAGTTTCTTTAACACTAGTCACTGAAGTTCTTCGGTGTGTGCCACTTAAAGCATAACGCCTAATTTGACAGCAGCATTGCAAAATGCCACAAGAGGTCAGTGTAACTGAAGCTTCAACAAATGAACCTATTTTTGAAACAATTGGCCCAACTGGTTCAATACTTCATAAAAGCTTCATTTGCCCATCAACTATCACTGACTGTCTTACCTGTAGATAACGAAAAAAATCCTGTGTTTCTAACGAGTAATTTCTTTAATTCTTTCTAAACTTTGTAGCGTATTGTCTTTCATCATCTTACACACAGCCGTTAATCCTTTCTGTGTCCATTCTTTGAAGCTAGTGTCTAATTTATGTATCATATGCACACCACTTTAAGATTACTATATCCCCCCTTCTAATTTGTATGTTGTTACGGTTTTCCACTTTTTCAGAGTCAGCTTGATCCAAGGGTTATCTATATTCTTTATAGCATTTTGCAGGTCACTGTCTGCTAGGAGTGCTTGTAGCGGGGTGGGTATCAGAGCCTCTTCAATGTTCTTCCATTGAGCTTCCTCTTGAGGAGCAAGAACGGGGTTTAGGGATCCCAACCAGATCACAGACAACAGGAAGGTTTAAAAGATTTATTAATAAACTGCTTCTGATGGAGGTCAGAGTCCTGAGGCCAGCCCAATCTGAAGAGACAGGAGAGAATGAGCAGGAGTTCAAAAGTAAAGATCAGAAAGTTCTGTTGAGGGGTTCCTTGAAGGAGTTAGTAGGAGTGACGTCACCAGTGGTGAAGGAGAGCGGGCTTTGAGACAGAGCTGAGCGGTGAGCACTTGGGAGGGAGATCCTAATGGCAGGTTCAGAGAAACAGGCGGGGGTCATACACGGGTGGTCAGAAATCCATAGCCAAACATAGCCAAACTTGAGACATAATCCAGAAGACATGGTCGTAATAGAGGAAGCAGAAGTCATTGCCATGAGCAGAGCAGATATCCAAAACAGACAGGGGATGAGCAAGGCGAGGAATCCGTGAGGCAGGCATGAGATCAGAACCAGGAAGACAAACAAGACTGTGGTGTGGGACGCTGGACATTTACTCACTTTATGGCTTTTGATAATCTGGCACTGAATGATGTGAGGGCAGCACGGTGGCGCATCTGGTAGAGCTGCTGCCTCTCAGTGAACAGGTCCCTGGTTCAAATCCCGGTCCAGGGGCCTTCTGGGTGGAGTTTGCATGTTCTCTCCGTGCATGCGTGGGTTTTCTCCGGGTGCTCCAGTTTCCTCCCGCAGACCAAAAACATGCATGTTAGGCTGATTGGTAACTCTAAATTGTCCCTAGGGGTGAGTGAGAGAGTGAATGGTTGTTTGTCTCGTTTGTCTCTATGTGTCCCTGTGATGGACTTGCGACCCGTCCAGGGTGTTCCCCGCCCCTCGCACAGTGATTGCTGGACATGGGCGCCAGCGACCCCCGTGACCCAAAATGGAATAAACGGGTAAAGAAAATGGATGGATGGAAGGATGAATGATGTGAACGTGGGGTTTAAGTACTGGGGAAAACAGGTGAACAGCATGAGGACTGATTGTGGTGAATTAGCTGAGTGGGTGTGGTGACAGAGAAGTGGCATGAGCAGACTTGAAGTGCAGATAGACAGGAGCTGTGAGGAAAACAAAACGCGAAGGCAGGAACTATGGCAGGCAGGGCAGAAAACGTGAGAGGATGTTAATATTTCTGTATATTTTTTGCAATGTAACTTTGTCTGCTCACTTTGTGATAATTTAGCCATTCCTAAATAAAAACTTTCAGCTCACTGAGTCGGTATTATGACGTTTGTTGTTTTGATAATGTTTATAAAGTTTAAAAAATAAACTTTAACTTTAGTTTCCCACTAAAATATGTTGACTTCTTTAATTTCTTCAAAAAACATTACAGTATTCTCTGAAATCTACTTCAGAATACTTAAAACCCCTGTTTTTGTCTTCTAATGCTACTTACTTTCACTTTTTGCTACTGTTTTGCTGCTTTGATTTTCAGCAAGCCTTTTAATGCTATTAGCTTTTATAGCTTTTAGCTAGCATTTTGGTCCTTCTAGCTTTTAGTTAGCCGTTTCCTACTTTTAGCTTTCTGCTAGGCATTTAATACTTTCAATTAACCATTTGATGCTTTTAATTAGCCTTTTGCTACTTTTCAGTATTAGCTATTGCTACCCTTGGCTTTTGGCCAGTGTTTTGTTTCTTTTAGCTAAAATTCCCTTTTATCTTCTTCAGCTAATTTTAGCAGTCATTCAGCCCCTTGTACTCACACTGTATTTTCACAGAATTTTTTTATTTCTCTTGAT